TGGGGGGACACAAGTGGCTGTACCTGTCAAGAACGTTTTCCGAAATGACCCAAACCATAGATGGTTTGGTCCAATCCTGTTGAGGGTGCGTCGCTCGACTCCATAACAACCCGCATCGGCGCCGCAGATCATCATGGGCCCATCCAACACAATTAAGCTTGCGTGATCTCTGTAGCTGGTGGACAACAAGAACCTTTGTAGATGTATCTCTATTTCTGTCAAACTTATTCAACCTCTAAATATTCAAAGTTGTGCATAACTGATCTCTGCCTCCCCAAAAAAACGAAACTAAGTAGACAAGCAACAACCCATTTCAAAACCCTGGAGACCTCACTCTACCCTACGACCCCGTACACATCAAACTCGCTGATGTTGCAGTATCTCTTGTTGACTTGACTGGCGGCATTTATTTTTTTGCTGAACTTGCAAATACTCTATTATATTATGTGTGGGACTTAATTATCTCGTTTAGACTACTTTAAGGTCATGTCGCAGAATCTCGTTCAGACTGCTTTAGTCAAACAGTATCTCGTTCAGACTACTGTAGTGTCATCAAACCAAAGTATCTCGTTTATGTGGGGGCCCTATCTCGTTCACCAGCGAATACTGATGTTGGACAACACAAATAGAGCATGCCATAGACCACTTTTGTCAACACCAAATAGTAATGGTTGCTCACGTGTGTTTTCCTGCTCAATCTCTGGAAGCTCCTCATTCCCCCACAAAGGCGCGAGCCAACCACCCTGCTGTGGCGCACCTCCAGCTGGGTACTGCTCACTCTGCGAAGGCAGGGCACATCCTCCGACTCCTCGGCAGCTGGAGCGACCAAGTTCCTTCTTTGGACCTGATATCAGAATCAGAATTAAAAGTAAGTAGCTTCTTGTTACTACTAGTAAGGCACCTGTTACTACTAGCGTGGCACCTTGTTACTAGTAGCTTCTTGTAGATATCATCCTGAGGACAAGATGGTGACCCTCAAAGGATTTGGTCATGGGATAATTTGGGTCATGGATGGGAGGACATGGAACAAACCCACCTGTTAGTAGAGGATTTCATGGTCTTCACAGGGGCCATGCCATCCACATGTGCTGTGTTCGTTCAAGGGCCATTCCATCGATCCTTTGACCGACTCCTTTGGAGCGACGGAGGTCCGAGCAGTCTCTCCTCTTGCTCCAGATATGGCCGCAAACGCGCCAGCACTCGGACCTTGGTCAGGGTGGGTCGGGGTGAGTGGGGTAAGCCATGGCAGAAAGTGTCCAGTCAAAACAAAACACTGCCACAGAAAACAGGGCGCCAGATGTTTTTTTCTCCTGAAATGGTCCCTGTACAAGTACAGGTCACTAAATGTCTCGTTTCCTTGACACTGTTGTTGTCAGCCAACACCAGAACTGGCCCAAACTGAAAAAGAGGCTTGACAGTTCCCATTCCTGTGGCACAAATCGGCACTTACCTCCCTTGCCAAGCTCATCCCATGCAGGTTTGAATCAGCTCTTTCAGAGTGGCCTTTCGAGTGACCGCACTTTGTCACAGCTGCCCACATGCAGTCTTGCACTCCCAAATACTCGGGTTCAACATGGTTCAACCATCAGACCATCCTTAAAACCGACAATTCAGACCTAAGGCCATCGCAGAATGGCCTCTGGCAGTGCGAGCGCTTGTACTCAGCGGATGCGGCCTCAATGGCAGAGTGTGCTAAGGAGAAAAAGGCGCAAGTCAAGGTTACATGAACATGGCCACACCTACAGACCCTCAAGATAAAGTGTGTGAGGCCCTGAACTGTTATTGGCCACCTACTTCTTTCCGTTGTGTTTGTATGTTTTTGTTGCATTGTGACGCTCATGTGGCGAAAGGCTTTTCTTGCAAACACTCAGAGTGTTTACCATTCACACCTGGAACCTTGTTCTAAGTCCTTAGGATACTATATACATTCATTCAATGGCTACTACAAACAACCCACGCAGAAAAGAAGATCTCAAGCTGTCAAACCACCTCGCTGGGACCGTCGCGGTCAGACCGGGCGGACAGAAGTGGCTTGGTCTCGGACGGACAGAAGTGGCTTCGCCCCTGCAGACCGGTGAAGCAATCAGCAATCTATCAATAACACCTGCGTCAAAACCCTACCCACACACTCTCCAGAATTGTAACAATCATTGCAAGCTCCGGGTGCAAATTAGAAAGAAGGCCTCCACATGTGGTCCATGAAGGGACCTCCAAATATTCTGAGAAGGAAAACATGACAAAGAAAAGGAATGGCTGCATACAAGACAATGGTTCTCAGTGGAAATGTCTTGGAACCGGAAGGTGCGACGAGATTTCTCCCTTCAGCACATCTCAGCTCATCCCATCACTGCACCCTCTTATAATATAGACGTACAGAACAGGAACAGCGCCAGCACCACACCCAACACATTAGGGTTTTGTAATCATTATTAGGAGACCCCGTGGCCCAAATGGATTCTTAGGTTCAACCATCGTTGTCCCGTTGGCCCTATCCCCATACGCAAGACGTTTGAACAGCCCAGCCTTTGGCTCCTCGCAAAGCAGATCCATCTCCGACTGAGACCAGGGAGGGCGTGCAAGAACCAAAGCGACCCACGAAGCTGATTTCGTGTGTTTTTTGTCGGCGGCGCGCCAGGTTGCAGAAAAAGCGGCTGACCCCCTACTACAGACTCCAGGAAAATGTAAAACATGCTATTTCTCACATTCCACACTCCTAATTCTCATTCCATTCTAATGCGCATGCCACACGGAGCGTCATGCACTTCATCGCGTGCCACCGGCTTCACCGGATCTTCTACGTGACTCAGGTCCGGAAAATCGCCTCTTTCGTCCATGACACTCTCATCCTACCATCGGGTGGCTCCAGACCATAGACCCAACTCCCTCACCACCCCACCAGTGGCACCCGAGGGTCGGGTCATGTAGCTCCAACCGCCCCACCGACCGAAGCCCAGAAGTCTGTGGGACGAACGAGAGGGCCACGGGGTCGGTAGAAGGGCACCAGCGATGCAGTTCATCCATGTTCATCGACGTACCAATGAGGTGGACACTGTTCTTTCAAGATCGTTCAAGGATGCTACAGCCGAGAAACATCAGCTAAGATCGACGTCGCCGACCCGGCCTGCACGGCCGCACGCCAAAAAGGCAAAGCGGACGAAGCAGCGTGAGGGGCAAACATGGATGCCCCATCCAGCTAAGGGCCACAAGCTGCAGCATCTAGGGCGATGTTCTCTTCAACAAAGGTGCTCAACGTTCACATGTGTTGGGGTTGAAAAACGTGAGCGTTCATAGCCGTTCTTCATCACCCATATAATGAAAAGCAAATGGTTAAACCATCACCTTTAGGTCGCCCCACATCGGTAAACATCACCAATCCAACACGTCGGCCTGGCGAGTGACCCTGCGAAGGCCTTTTGGTCCTACGACACCAAGCGTCCGGAACCCCGGCCACTGAAAACGTGGATCCGGCCACTGAAAACAGCTCTTCCCATGCCCTTGCGTAGGTCGCAGCAAAAAGCATCCAAAATCCACACACTAACTGGAAGACTTGCCCCAACTGGTCGGCAAATCAGCCCCTGTGGAGTGTTTCTTGGAGTAATTCCCCAGTTCAAGTACGTCAGAGCACGGCCCAACGCGCCCGGGAAAAAAAGGCAGCTCTTCGCAGCGTCTTTTCTCGGAGTCGACCGAGTCGACCCCGAAGGAAGTGACGACGGTGAGACGAGACGGTGAGACATCTGTACA